TTTTTGATTAAAGCTATAACAGATCCAAATAATTACTCTCAAAAGTGTGATTGAAATTGGTAAAATCGACTTTTTTTTTTATTAAAGATTATTAAAATTTAAAATCCAAAATTTTGGTTAATTGATAATTCAGTTTCGATTGTAACCTAGATTGAACCATGCCCACCCCTAGTTAACCAGTAAAATAAAAAGAAAAAAATGGTAAAAGCATGACATTGGCATAAGTTAATCCAGGGCTAAATTCAATAAATACTTTATTAACTATGTGGTTAATTTTAGTTCAGTTTAGTTTAGAAAAAAAATTTTCTTTCAAAATGATCTATAAACTATCAATTTTGTTTCAAAATGATCTACTTAACAAAACATTCCGTTAACTACACTAACGGAATTCTTTTCAACCGTTGACATGTGCCACCTAGTTCATCACTGGCTTGCCGTGTGACGCAAACACGCAAAGGGAGTTGGTGTAGATAAGCTACCCCCTATACTTTTGAAAAATATTAAATATAGTACATATATTTTTATTTTTTACAATATTTTGTTTTCGAAGTTTAAATTTTTTATCAAATGTAATAATTAAATAAGATGAAATTTTAATTTACATTAATTAAGATTCTAATTTTAATTTATAATAATCAATATTACAATTAATTTTTTTTTTTTAGGAAAAAGGCAAGCTTTTCCATTGCATGTAAACCAGATATCCACAATAATCACCCAGGCATACCCGGGGTTAACATCATCTAATACTCAAAATTGCAATTTCAAAAAGTAAGAAATTCTCCTATTAATGTTATCTACTGCACTTGACTTGTTCTTAAACAAACGCATATTCCGCTCTTGCCATATGTAGTATATTGAGGCAGCTAATGCAGCACGGAGCTTCCTCTTAATAATAGCTTCCATGTCGTAGTATCCATCTCCATTCATTTGTCCAAGACAAAGGTTCCCTCGTAATTTGAAAAAATCCCAAGACAAGCTTCTAAACACTTATGGGAAATTCACACTGGAAAAAAAGATGCTCAATATTTTCCATACTTACCCCACAAAAACAACATTCTACATCAATGATCATACCCCTGGATGCCAAGAAGGCTTTAGTCTTCAATCTACCACGCACAACCAACCATAAATAAAACTATGCCGAGGAAAATTTCCACTTGACCAAACTAGTCTATGCCAATTAACTTTCGGTTGCTTAACTCTCAACAAATTATAGCAACTAGCAATAGAAAAGCAACCAGATACAATAGGCCTCCACACGACCTTATCCTCCCTATCTTGGAGACTTTTAGATGATATTAACTGGGCAAGGGAAGGGTACTTACGAACAAAACTGTCCGGTATATGCCAAGCCCCAGCATCCCACCATTTAGCCACAACACTGCCATGCCCCCATGCCATCAACTCTTCTCTAACTTGTACTCGATCGCATATTCTTCCACCTTCCAACCACAGATCATAAAAAAGAGATGTCTGCCTGCCATCCCCAATTTGAACCCAAACTTGGTCTTTAATACTAGTTCTCATCTTCAAAATCTGCTTCCAGGACCAGGACCAATCCTTTGGTAACTTTACTTTCCATATGCTTTCCCCCTTTAGTAGAACTACTTGAGCCCATTGTACCCAAAGGTCTTGTTGTTTTTTACAAATTAGCCAAATAAACTTGCACAAAGCAGCTCGATTCCAACTAGCTAACTGCTTAACTCCTAAGCCTCCCTCAGTTTTAGGAACACAAATATCTGACCAAGCCACAAGTGCCATTGTTGATTGATCCCACTTTCTTGTCCAAACAAAATTCCTAAAAGCAGCATCAATACTCTTAATTTTATTACTTGTAAAAAAATTTAATTTATTATTAAATATTAATATTTTTAATAAATAAACCCTTTCAAATTTTAATTTAATTCAATGAGCACCCACACATAATTAAAATTAACTAAAAAAAATAAAAATTCATTTCAATTTTATAAATCTCCAAATTAAAATCATGCATGTATATTATTATTAAAAATAAAAATAAAATTTTTTATTTTTCTATACAAATTAGCAAAAAAAATATGTAATTT